ATCTCATTAGAAAAACAACTGACCTGGAAAACAGATCCAGGAGAGATCATTTAAAAATTATTAGACTATCTGACAGCCATGGTCAAAAAAAGAGCCTAAACATCATCTTTCAAGAAATTATCAAGGAAAACTGCCCTGATATTCTAGAACCAGAGGGCAAAACAGAAACAGAAAGCATCCACCGATCACCTCCTGAAAGAGATTCCCAAAGAAAAACCCCTAGGAATATTATAGCCAAAATCTATAGTTCCCAGGAGAAAATACTGCAAACAGCCAGATAGAAACAATTCAAGTATTGTGGAAACACAATCAGGATAACACAAGATTTAGCAGCTTCTACATTAAAAGACCAGAGGGCTTAGAATATGATATTCCAGAGGGCGAAGGAGATTTTACAGCCAAGAATCAGTTATCCAGCAAACTGAGTATAATCCTTCAGGGGGAAAAATGGACATTCAGTGAAACAGACGACTTTCAAGCATTCCTGATTAAAAGATCAGAGCTGAATAGAAAATCTGACTTTCAAATACAAGACTCAAGAGAAGCATGAAGAAGTAAACAGGAAAGAGAAATCATAAGGGACTTATTAAGGTTGACCTGTTTACATTCCTACCTGGAAAGATGATATTTGTAACTCATGAGACCTTTGTCAGTAGTGCAGTAGTTAGAGGGAAAAAATTATATGTATGTAAGTATGGATAGATAGATAGATAGATAGATACATAGATAGATATAGGGCACAGGATGAGGTGAAGATGAAGGGGTGATATCTAAAAAAAAATTAAGGGGTGAGAAAGGATTATACTGGGAGAAAGAGAAAGGGAGAGGTAGGATGGGGTAAATTATCTCACATAAAACAGACAAGAAAAAGCTTTTACAGTGGAGGGGAAATGGGGGAAGGTGAGAGGGAATGAATGAATCTTATTCTCATCGGCTGTTTTTTGAGCAAGGACGGGGTCAAAAAAGAGAATAGAATAAATGGGGGGTGGGATAGGATGAACGGAAATATAGTTAGTTTTCCACAACATGACTACTATGGAAGTGTTTTGCATGACTACACATGTATAGCCTGTATCTCGTTGCTTGCCATCTCAGTGAGGGTGAGTGGGGAGGGAGGAAGGGAGAGAATTTGGAACCCAAGGCTTTGAAAACAAATGTTGGCTTTGAAAACAAATGTTAAGATTTGTTTTCACACGCAACCGGGAAATAAGATATACAGGCAACGGGGTATAGAAATCTATCCTGCCGTACAGGAAAAAGAAGGGAAAGGGTATAAGAGAAGGGGGAGGGAGTGATAGAAGGGAGGGCAGATTAGGGGAAGAGGTATTCAGAATGCATGCCATCTTGGGGTGGGGGGAGAGGCAAGAAGGGGAGAAAATTTAGAACTCAAAATCTTGTGGAAATGAATGTTGAAAACTAAAAATTAATTAAAAAATAAGATCCCTCCCATTATATTAAGTATGATACGTTCATTAAATTCCTATTTTATGTAGGCTCAGATTCTGTCTGGGCCTTATGTCTGAGGATCAGCCTGGCTAAGTTTAGAGAGAGACTCATTAGTAGAGACCTGCCCAAAAGTTCATTATTTTTTTTTGGCAGTGGCAACTTGAGAGGCCCATGGGCATATCCCCACAAATGAAATATGAGAGTTTAAAAAAATGCTTAAAAATATCAGAATGTAACCAGTGTCTCTGAATTTCCTTTTTCCTCTTTTGTTTCAATATTCATTTCTCTATTCCCTTAAAGAAAAGTACTTTATTACCTCTACAATACATCATGTCAACAACACACAAATTTACTCAATTTGCCCTCTGAGCCCTCTATGAAATCCTTGCCTGTAACGTCATTTACTTGGCTACAACTCACTCATTTCCTGAGCACATTCCTCAACTTCTAAAAGCTGTCTACTTCTGAAATATCTTTGTGTGTACATTTAAGGGTAGCTAGATGATGCAGTGGATAAAGTCAAGAAGACCCCTCTAGCTTAACAGCTAAAGTGCTACTGACAAATAGTAAATGCTACATAAATGTTAGCTATTATTACTATTTTTACTTTAAGATTCACAGAATATTAGAGATGGAAGGGGCTGAAGCAACTACTTAGCCAACTCCACCATCATTTTACAGACAAGAAAACTACGTTCCAAAAAACAGAAGTTATTTACGTAAATTAGACCCATTTTCAAGTTCCACTTTCTTCAAGAAGCAAAGCTTCCCCTAATTCCTCCAACGAATATTCATCTTCCCTTCCCTAAATTCCCTAAATTCTCCCATACCCTAAATTACTACTGAACTTATAATTCAGTATAACAAAATTAATAACCTATTTGTTCTTAATAACAAAAGTTATTTTGTGCTTTCCTCCTCAATTAATCTATAAGTTTACTGGGAGTAGGGCTTTATTTTCATCAGTATCGGGCACAAAACAGACATTCAAAAAATATTTGTTGATGAATCTGGAAAGAAAGCAAAGAAAAAAATGCCTCACATTTCATTATCTCATAATGCAATATCTTTTGCCAGGTTCTGTTTCCAATTATCCATCAAATTACATTAACTATCTCCCAAATATGTAGCCTATCTTGAGTTAGCATATTCTTCACACAGGAAGTGTAACACCATAAAATTAGGGAGAGAATTCCCCTTTGGACTAGACAGTTTTAGTTGAATCTTTTCACTACCGTCAATATTTTAGACTACTAGTATCTTCTTATTAAACATTATTATCAATAAACTTTCATCATAATACTCAATTATTTTATATAGCACCTTGATCTCTTTAATGATAAAGATGTTAGAGACATCTAAAAAACATGTTCTACCCATTTCTATACTTTTGCAGTATCATTTCAATGATAGTCAAAATGAAAAATTTCTTTCTGATTCTATAAAAACATACAAATACCTACACACACTCATATTTCTGTTGGTGTAACCTTTTACAACAGGACAATTTCTTTTCAACCTCTTTCCCTTTACTGTAGTACTTGGCACAAAAGATGATCAAAGTAAGCTGTCTAATCAATGGGCCAAGAAAATTCATCCCAAGTTCTTCCAAAGTTCTTCTTTGATACTTTGATTTAGAAGCAGCCCTAGGTTTTTAAATGCTACAACAGCAGAGCGACAAGCACTAGCAAATCCTACACCAAGCTGGAAAAGCCTCAAACACTGGCTTAGGCTACATAATGGACTATACAAACCAGAGGTTCAACTCCAACTCAATCCAAAGATGATTAATTTTTCAGCCACAGAAACTCACAAAAGGCCATAAAATAAAGGAAAGGACTGTGATATAGTTGACCTGTGTCAATGGTTCTAGTACTCAAACCAACAAAATAACATATCCTTAAGTATTGAAATAAATTATATTAAAGATGGCCATCAGTTTAAATCCTGAGCTAGGCCATTCTAACAAATATAAAAATGTCACAAGGAGAAGACAGGATTTAAATTTTTTCCTTAATGACCAAAATATGTAAGGTTTGAGGATAGTCTGTGGATTTCAATTATGTACCTTTTTCTTGATCTCAATTATCAAGCACAAAGTCCACCAAAATAAAAAACTTTTGTTACCATGACAATTTCCTTACCTTTAAAGAAGTGCATTTAATTATACACTGTGTCAGTCTACAGATATTAAAATACTATCTGATACTAACCACGGATATTCGATATCCACAAAAACATTTAAATCAATTAGCTTATGGATGAGTCAAACATGGCAGATGATCTATTTGCCTTAAATCTTTTAAGGACTTCCAGAAACAAAACTATAACAAGAGCACAAGTCACCTAGTTTCATAAAAGCTCACCCAAAGGCTCACTAGACATATGTTGGATTTTTACTTTATGTAGTAGCATTGTTTTTGTGGATATGACATGACTCATTGATTTTACAAATCTATGTAATAATTTGTTGGTCCATATTTTGTTCAATCTAATGCTGACTTTCCAACAGAGAATATACTAAAACTTTTAATTATACTAGCTAAGACTACATTCTCAGCTACCTATGTTTCTTTAAGTCTCCTTTCTTTCTATCATGCCAAGTTAAAAAATAAATTAAATGTGTCAAATTAGACCTTTTAAGAATGCATCTCTTCTGTCACTGTTTAAGTAACCAAATAAGTTCACCTAAGAAAGAAAAGATAGAGATTTTTAAGTAGCTACAGTCAGAGAATAAATTCAAGATTTGCACATTGACATTCTATATCAAATCAATATAAATCTCTAAGCTAAAAACTAAGATTTTTCCAAGTTTCTGCATTTTAACATACCACAGAAGCTGAAAATGAAGGTCCAAGAATGTGAAAGAACATATTATTACTACCAACAGGCATAAAGAATGTGAAACTTGCTATTTTTCTTGATGCCATATGAAGGTACTATGTTCCTTAATGAATCTATATAACTAAAAGCAATAAAAATCCTTTAAATACATGCAACTCAAAATGGACAGTGGCAGCTTTAAGTGCTGAGTTTTAAAGATTGCTTTTACTATTTTTACTATTGCCTATACTAGCTTTCAATTTATGAACTCCAAAAGCAAACATCAAGCTTTGACATTTCATTTGTTTAAAAAAAAAAAGTGCACTGAAGGTATTAAAAATTAATTTAAGATGATTTTTAAAAATTAGTTGGATAAGGGCAAGGTTTACCTCAATGTACAAATTACACTAAGCTGTAGAAAATGTACACTTAAATATTGAAAAAGAAATCAGGTAAATTTATGACCATTTCCTCCACTTCTGAGCTCTGTTCATTTACTTCAGCACATATTCATGAAATTTCCACATGGAGGGCACAATGTATTATGAAATAAGGAGAAATAATGACGCAATGTAGAAAGGTGTTTTTTCGAGAAGGGGTAGGAGGGTAGGGGAGGAATGGTAGAATTGTATAGGAGAAGAATGTCAATTTCATACTACAGCTCAAAAGAAAGGAAGCTGTGGAGAATAAAAAATAGACAAGTCTTTAGAGATTTCAAGAGGGCAACTTACCCAAGTTATGTCGCTTTGTCTTTGCGTGCTCATGAATATGTTTCTTTGTAAAACAGCCAAAGAAGACACAGTAGAGGCAAGAGTGGAGTCTATTTAAGTGGGCGCCACACATATGACAGATGCACGACTTTGCCTGGAAAACAAAAGAGAAAAAGAAAAATCAATAAAAGCCAAGAAGAATTCAAACATAAATGATTGGATAAAAAGTACAGGCCAACAGATCAGGAAGGACAGTCTGGGGAACCTTTATTTATTAATTGGAGCTCAATCTCAAAAAGGACAATGAACAAAAGAAAAATTTTTATTAAAATAGAACTATAATCTCTAAAATGCTTTTCAAGTCCTCAAAAATAGCCACACACTAATAGCATTCATCCCACATCTCACTTATTCACACACAGACAAGTATCCAGTAGTCAAGATAAATGCCACACTACAGATCATGCATTTTATTCATAGGACAAGCTATAAGTCTCTTACTAAGAACAACTTTAACATGAAGTGACAATCAAGAGCAAAAAAAAAAAACTTTTCATAAAAGGATTATATTGTAGTTCACATTTCTATAGCGCTTTCCAGATTAAAAAATATTTTCCTCACAACTTGGTGTGATAAGCAATTCAAGTATTATTTGCTCATTTAACAGGTGAGAAACTGAGGCTCAAAGTGACTTGTCCCAGGTGCTACAACAAGTAAGTATCATATCCAGAATTCAAAGGCTCTCAAGCTCTTTCTACTAACCCACACTCTCTCTCTAGGCACAAAGACAAAGCATAAACAGTCATCTGCTGCAGGGGCAACTACATATCTCAAAAGACCATAAGTCCAGTAAAACAATGGATTTTTCATAGTGATGACCTAAATTATGTTCAATATCCTTTGTTTAGGAAGTCAGGGCAGCATGTTTTGATTTTTTTTTTTATTTTAACAAAGCTAGATGGACATATTTCTAAAAAGTTTTAACACATTTTAAAGAGGTTGGCTTTAGTTGCAATATGCATTACTGTGGGAAGTACTCACATGGATGAGATCATAGATCACTGAAGCTTAGATTATCTAGAAAATTCACTTGAATTGATGAGCTTATTCCCTAAATTTAGACCCCTGACTAATGAGCTACTTCATATCAAATGTTAACGTTTTCATTCTGTTCAGACATTCCCTTTCAGAAAGGTTGCTTCCCAACTTGTACATGACTGTTGTAAAGAGAACAGTCCAAGTGGCTCACTTAAATAGGAAGAGCTACAACCTGCATCATGGTTTTCATTTAAAAGTCACCAGCAGACAACCAGGAATACATTTATGCTGTCTTTTGGCTCAATATCTGCATAAATATATCTCACTAAACTTTTCCCATTTTCAAGATACATTCTTGAACTAAAATTCTCTCATATTTGTTTCTGGGTGAATATGGCTGAACATGTCTAAAAGATGGCTAAGTTAAAGACTCACTATGTTTCTACTCATGAGTTTTTGATAAGCTTTGAAATTTAAAAATAAAAAAAAAACTTTTCAGGTTGGTAAGTAGGTGGTTTCAGGGAAAATTAAGATATTAAAAACATCGACTGAGTAATAGTCCAGGAAGAAAAGACTATTCTTCCTTCGTTTTGTCAAATTCTGCACCTTGTATCACTTAAAATCAAACAACATTCCTCAATGTAACATGCTCACTCACCTCTTCTGTGTATATATGTGTATCTGTGCACAAATACATGTACTCATGTTTCTTGTGTTATAATAACTTTGTGCAGTTGTTATACTTATAAATAGTAAAACTGAAGTTGTATTTATCTATGATAGAAACAGTAAATAGTATTTAAAAGGCAAAATGAACTTCTTTCTTACTGTGGATATAGGTTTAAGTCTGCTTAACATAAAACAAGTTACCTTAATTTGTTGCAAAATTTCAAAGAACAACTTCTGGACAACTGTGTAATATGGTTTTCCCCAAACTTCAGCAAATTTACTTTTATTTAAATACTATTTATATGACAATGACATTATACTTACAACTTAGATTACAATACATGACTTTGTAAAGAGCATACAAAATATTTACAGTCTCTTTCTCTTTAACTGAAAGCTCTAAGTGCCTTTCTTCTATATATAACAACACTTGCATTAACAATTACACATTCCAACTACACATTTTGTTGTCAAAAAAATGTTCTATATTCAAGTAACATCAATGTTAGGCAAGAGACTCATTCCTACTAAAATACAACCAGGCAATCAGCCAGAAGCTGTCAGCAACAGGTTTTAGTTTTGATAGGGTGGAGGAGGTGGCAGGAGAATGGTTCAGGAACAGTCTCTCCAGGAGGGAAGGCCATCAACAAGGGTGAGAAAGGAGAGACTATGATCCCAAAAAGAACTTCCTGATAATTTGTCTTGGGTCTACCTTTTTCACACACTTTTAAAAAAAATTCAATTCAATTTATTATCAGCCTCAAGTTTTCAGCTTTATTAACCTTAAATTATGCACAAAACTCATGAAACCTCAAGTGAAGGTATCTGTCCTGGGGTGGGGGGGACACAGACGCATTTATTAAACACCTACTGTGTGCAAAGTACTCTAATAAGCACTTGGTAAACATCTCATATGATCCTCATAACAACCTGGGAGGTAGGTGCTTTTATTATCCCCATTTTAGAATTAAGGAAACGGAGGCAAACAGAGATTAAGTAACTTGCTTTGGATCACAAACCGAACAACTGTCTGGGGCTGGATTTGAACTCAAGTCTTCCTGACTCCAGGTCCAATGCTCTATCTGCTGTGCAACCTAGCTGTCTTATTGTCATTTAATAGGGAAAACAGCCACTATATGTGCAAGCCAACACTAACTCATGTAGTTTTAAAAACTAGTCAACAGTCAATAATAATCAGAATTTATCAGAATTTCAGAAGAGTTGGAAAGACCAGTTTAATTTTTTTATTTGTTACTTCATGTAGTTACAACTGATTAAATGCTGATGATTTTACACAGGATTTAATTTCTTAACGTTGCTGACAGTTATTAAAGTTCATAATAAAAAATTAAGTTTTATTTTCAGAAATTTCATCAAGTTATTTTTCTATTACACAAAATCCCCAAAACAAACATAATATGTACCCACAAACACAAAAGGTATTTCACAATATTTATGAATATCAAAATTTAGAAATGTGGTATAAAATACTGCATACCTGCCTCCAACATTTGTTGTAAGGGTCAAATGAGAACATTTGCAACATGTGCAAAGCTTAAACAGCTATAGAAATGCCAGTTTACTTTAAAAAGTCATCTGAGGGGCAGCTCAGTGGAGCAGTAGACAAAGATCTGGCCTTGGAGTCAGGAGGACCTGAGTTCAAATGTGACCATAGACAGTTGACACTTACTAGCTATGTGACCCTGAGCAAGTAACTTAACCCCAACTGCCTAACCAAAAAGGAAAAAGGTCATCCTGAGCAAATCTATAGCACCTGAGATCTGAGAAGGGCTCCTTACTCAGTGCTCATTAGGGTTATTAAGATCAGTACAGGGCAGCTAGGTGGCGCAGTGGATAGAGCACTGGCCCTGAAGTCAGGAGGACCTGAGTTCAAATCCAGCCTCAGACCAAACACTTGCCACTTACTAGCTGTGCGACCCTGGGCAAGTCACTTAACCCTAATTGTCTTAAAAAAAAAAATCAGTACGTGGAGGTGAGAAAGCAGAAGAAGTAGGATAAAAGAAATTATCAAAGGCAGGAGTGATGGGAAAAGGCAGCTCAGGTATATTACGAGGGAAATGAATAAGAGACAGGAAGCCCAAGTGTCACACTAGTTTCTGTTAATATTAACTGAAACAAAAGAAAACGTCCAACATAACAGGTGTATCCTCTCTATGGAAAATTTATGGCTCTAAAGTCAGGGTCAAGAAAGGACAATGTGATCACCTGAAGGGAGTACTTATTTTGTTGAGATCATAGATTTCACAGATCCAAAGCTAACTGGCTAACTGCACATCCTCAAAAGACACAATAATGACCAAATGGCAGAAATAACAGCAAGCTTGTGACTATTAAATATGGATACACTGAGAGAATTGGGATATATTCAGAACACTTGTTGGCTGTGACCTTAAGTTGCTTAACCATCTCTGACCTCAGTTTCCTTATCTGTAGAATAAGGAAGTCAGACTTGATGACTTCTAAGATCTCATCTCATGGATCCATGACCCATGATTTAGAACCTAAATGTTCAATATGCCTCTATAGATTTAAACACACAGCCATTCCGTCATTCCTCTGGAGATATGACAACCTTTTACAATATACTGGATTGGATCCAACTAATAGATAAATTAATGCCTGGGAGTAAGTCAGGCCCTTTTGGAAACCATTTAACTTTATGACTCCAATAATCTCCTAAAGGATTATGCTCTTGAAAAGTTACAAAAGTCACATATTCCAAAGACAAAACTATGATTAGTAACTGAGTTAACTCACTGGTTCAGCAGTCTTTTTTTCTAGGGGTCAGAGGTTTACAAAATACATTAAAGATATGATCCAAATACTAATTCATGTTTGAAAACGAAACACAAATCCAATGCCAGATATTTCTGGTTCTTATTAGTATAGACCAAGGTGGAAACTGGAAGTAAAGGAACCTATAGTCTGAGTCATTCAATTTGCAAACTCAATAAAGCTATTAAATACAAACCAATGCTCAGTCATTTCATTCAAGAATGCAGCAGAGTCCAAAAGCAACATGATGACCTCTCAGTGACTCATCAATGAAGAGAACTGCACCTATAAATATTTCAGCTTTTTAAAAATTAACCTTTTCCATATTCTTTGTTCACAATAGCTAGTTCAAATCATCTAAGATGGAGGATTCTAGAGAGTATCTTTGATATTATTTCATAACTTTCCATTAATCTTTCTTTCAAATGTAGCACTCGGCACAGCTAATTTAGCAATATACCTACTCACAAAGTTAATGCTGTATTTGTAGTTACCTAGTAGTAAATTATTAGGGTAGGATCGCTCTTCCTTCCTGAGTTCAAAAGAAGCTAAGAACTGAAACTATAAATAGATTCTTGTATGATTTTCCCCTGGGGCGGGGGGGGGGGGGGAGGGAGAGGCCACGGGGCAGCACGCTGCCAGAAGCTTCAC